TTGATGATAATATATAGTTAGGGGGGGAAATATATATCCCATGAGACAAAGAAAATGTTAAGAAAAAGATGGAAGAAGAAGAAGAAAAAGATGAAGAAGAAAAGGAAGAAGAAGAAAATCTTTACTTCGACCCATGGTACGGGCTGGCGTAAACGTGAGTATCACATCGTACCCTGATCGAGTTGGGTTCTTTGAGAAGTGATTCATCATCTGTCGAGCCAGCACCACCGATCGCTTCGGTAGTGTGACGATATTCTCCTGATTCTAGTTCCAGGTAGCTATCGAGCTCTCGTTTGCCGTGATGGCCCCTGAAGCCATGGACGCCACCACTCGAATTCCCACTGCCACCGCCTCGTCCACCACCGATGGTATTGTTTGCTTCACGTAATATTGGTCCCGACTTTCGATTCGATCCACGAGTCACCCGTGATACCGCTGGTCGGATGTATTTGGCAAATAAAGGCGCGAGCGTCGGAATACACACGACTATAATGCTCAGCCAGACTTCGAGGAAGCTGATAAGCCCAACGTCGCGGATTCCGTGAACAAAGTCGGATTGTGTTTCTGGATGGAGCGTTATTTGCAATCTCCAGGCCATCACTCCAACAACACTGTAGCAAATTTCTGATTAGTTCGTTTATTCTCCATTCATCTTTTAAAGAGAAGAAAAATTAGAGCTTACCATAGACCAAGCCCGAACATGATAGTGATAGCAATCTTATTACGTTTCGCCATCTGAAGACCCCACAGTAGGGGCATTGGTAGTAAGGCGATCAATGTATCCACAAGAATGTTCGCACTGATTGAGGCGATCTCTTGGATCTGTACATCTCGGCAGCTTCCCCCTGGAACAGGGGCCCAAGAATGTGATGGAGGATTGCACATCGTCATAAAGAGCGGTAGGAATGCACAGAAATATGCGCCGCACAATCCCATGACTGCCCAAGCAGCCCATTTGAACTGTCTTGTTGAAAATATAGCGGTATATAGCGCAAGCATAGATAGTTTAGAGAAAACAGTGCCTGTAAGCCATGTTATTCCTGCAGAGAACAGCATCTATCGCAAAAGTAAAATGTTAATACTGTGGAATTTTAGGGTGTATGAGATATATGAGAGAGTTGTGTTTTACCCTAAATTGTACCGAAAGTTCGGCAGGAGTGAGATTTGCAGTTTGATCTCCCATTCCATGCGCGATTCCCCAAAAGGTTGTGCCACTCATTGCCAAAGTGGCGATCTATACGGAAAATCAAATCAGCAAGAGTGTGATAATTCCGGTAGATGTAGGGGAAACTCACATAGGCAATAAGCACCATAATATCATCTGCTCTGAATGCTCGTTTCTGGATACGAGCTGCCCAAAGCCGCAATCCAAGAACCACAGTGACTGCGACATCAAAAACAATGATCCATATCATGAGGGTGATGCCCCTCGAGTGAAAATGCATGGTGGGCGAAGTAGAAATAGAGTTGGTAATAGAGGCGATAATTCGATTATTGTTTTCTAAGCCGGTTTATGTATATATCGAGTACAAAAGAATGTACGGAGCACCGTGGGTATTCACATTATAGGCGTAGAGGTCAGACAGCTAAGAAAATGAAGGTGGACGGTCAATAATAAGGCCCAACCATGGAGGTTGAAGAAAAGGATACAAGGGAAGCGGGCGGGAGATTGAAATGGTATATAAAGCTGGGTGTGCAGGAGGTGGACCACAAAATCGTATTATTCCACTTGGACCCTGTAAATTATACAGACAAAGATAGAGATAAAAAGGAATAAGATCCGCAATGCAGGAAATCGTACATGGCTTGGAGGAGCGGAGTACGAAAAGTACAAGACCTCATGACGAAGAGGAAGAAAAAAAATAAAAGAAAATAAAATAAACACCGAAAAGGCAAGGCTAAAAAAGAAAGGTGAGCTTATTTTTTTTCTTTTCTTTTCTTCCCGATGTCTCTGTTTCTAATTTGCTTTTCCCCATTCCATATTTTGGCCCTGCCTCTTTTCTTCATATTCAGGACAGGGGGACGGGCTGGAGGAAGAAGGGGGGAAGGGGTGTCACTTCTCTTCAAGCATTGCCTGTTGCCTCCCCGGTTATTCAACCAATCCGGCCTGTGCGGATGATGTGTTGGTCGATGCATGGAAGAGAGCTGGTAGCGCGGGGGATCAGAGCAGCTGGTCAGGCTTGCATACGGTTATGCCAATAGAGGGAGGAGGTCAACTTGTCGCATTTCTTTTCTTTTTCCAATGTACTTGCTTTCTTTTGATTCCTTGGGGTACACTGATCACAGAGCGCAAGCAAAAAATAAACCCCATGGATGGGGGAATGTGGATTTGAGGACCAGGGTTGAAACTGTGTTGGCAGCTCGAGTTTTTTTTTTTTTCGTATCCATATACCTGTAGAGTTACTATAGATACCCATAGACATAACTAAGCATCAAGGGTCTGAAGCGTGGTAACAGTCTTTGGTCGTGGTGGGAGGGAATACCCTTGTCCCCCGACGACATGCACAAGCGTAGCATTCTCCTTGATAAGCCCTGTAGGCTCGGGAAAAGTGACGATGCTAAAAATAACGGGTCCTGGGACAAGATGTTCCGGACGGGATGGGATCTGTATACCAATCAGCTCTCGCACGCGTATTTGTTTGAGAGAATGTCTCCGTTAGTCTCATTCCCCATCGTCATTCATTCAACCTTCCGAGTCCCGAAAGGACGTTTGTTAATACAGCCAGTCAGTTAGTGAACTAGTTAGTTTAGTTATCGAACTCTTCGATGATGATGACGAATAATATTATTATTAAGAATAAGCACAAAGCAAGATAGCGACAGGGAGTGGACTGAATATATTAAATAAACGGTTTGGGCTTCGATTAATTCTGCCTAGTCTGGCTACAGGGAAAAAAGAAAAGAAGAAAAAGCCGGAAAAGTTAGAAGTTTGGAGCTAAATGCTCCAGGAAGAAATAAGGACGGTGGGAGTTATTTTAGACCAGCCACACCTAATTCCAACCCCTCCCTCCCATCTTAATTAAGTACCACTAACTCACTAGTTAACTAGCTGTTGCTGGTTGATTCTGTAAGTTCTTCTAGGGTCTTCTAGGGGGGTTTAACATGGCAACTGACCCAACACCCCGGTGCCTTGTTCCGACCAGGAAGATTAAAATGCAAGAGAGAGCAAGCGAATTTAATCCTAGGATGAGTAAGACGACTTAAGATGACAACTTCCTTTGTGTGGAGAGCTCTGCAAGGGCTGCTGCATCGAGGGTAGGATTTCGCTGTCAATCCAGTCCAGGGAGACATGTAGGTATTTCTCTACCTTCTCTCCCATATGCTAGGTGTAGCTAGGTAGGTATGCCGACTCCCAGTAACTACTTCGTAAGGTCAGGGCTTCTGCTGCTGGAAGCTCAGCATTTAAATTAATTTTAGATGCTTCTGGATTGTGCAACAGGAAGAATTTTAAGCATTCCCAGTACGTTACCCCTGTCTCTGGTCAATCTCGATGTTTTTCTACCTGTGCCTGGCCTGCGTTCTCTCTCTTTCTCTCTCTCGAATAAAATGCTTTGTCTGCCAACGCGCTCTGGTCATACTTGCGCCTGCGCATCTGTGGTAAACTTCCTTTGGCCATTCTTGGCTTCTTGGATCCATCTCGAGGAGGCGTATCAATTGGCTTTATTGCACAATCTAGTGAACTAATTAGTTAGTTGGCTACTCCGTAGTTAACTAGTTAAACGGGCGCCCCCATATATGATCGCTTGTTAGCTGCAGATCATGCATATCAATGAATCGACGTTGCCGAAAGTGTCCATCTCAGGTGCGTATTAACGAAATTACGAATCAACAAAATTCGACTGGTGAATGGACGGATTATTTTCCCGCAGGTACGCATCTAGGACAAAAAATCTTAAGTTTTTGTTTTCGGTTTCTCACATGAAAAATCCCTTTCTGCGGCTATTGTTTCTCAGCCCCCTTGCTGAGAAAACTCTTCAGTCGAAAACTTATTCTCATGCAGGTAAGAAAAGTTATCATAAATTACTTGCTCATTGTTCATTTTTTCGGCGGATTTCGCTATTCTCGCTTTGCTTCCCCTGGTGGGTCAAAATCTTGGGTTCCAGTGGCGCGAAATCTGCGAAAGCTTATGGCTATAAGGTTGAATACCCGGAGGAAAGTTGAAGACATTCCTAAATATTTAAGTCTAAATGTTTAGTTAGTCGACGTCTGGGCCTCATGTATATCATCTTCCACGTTAAAAGTATGTTTTCAACTTTGGAATGGAGGGTGATATCCGAGTTTCCGATTTTCATCCCTACAGGGCAGTTGAGACGGATAACTTCCATCAACGATGCATTTTCCATATGAATAAACAACACCCCCAATCGGCAACCTTGCTGGCATCAATCAATCAGCATTCGTGTATGCGCGGGCGCATCCTGTATATTGAGGAAGCGGGGAACCCACGGATGCCGACAAATATGTAAGACATGGCTCTTCCAACTTCTATTTTTGAACGAGGGGAAATTCCCGGGAAAGTAGTTTTACTTCCTGGCCCCTGGCATCGAGTGGTATTTATCTGTTATTCCCCGATCCCAAATGAGTTCTCCAGGCGAGTTTCCAGGCCGGATATTAACAGGTTGCAATCAACCAACTAAGTTTGGTTAGTCAGTTCAAATAGCGACTTGAGAAAGGGCCTGATTTAGCTGGAATTAGCATGTTTCCAAGGCAAAATAGAATAACTATGCTTCAAGGTAAGCCTTTCATTGTTAGATTATGAGCGGTTCAGTATCCAAATATATAGTAATCCGTAGGTTCAAGTCAATATAGTTAATTATGATAAAAATTATCTTGTTAGATTTGACTCACTAGGTGGTTTAGACGCTCCATCATGGTGTTTTGTGTTAGATGTTGAGAACAACACGTCGACTTTTGGCCAAGTGGTCTAAGGCGCCAGCCTGGGGTCGGATTGACTTTTGACAACCCCCATATCAAAGCGATGCCCGAATTTATACCTCGAAAGGGGGTTGGCCGAGTGGTTATGGCGCTAGGTTTAGGCTTATGTAATCACCCTCGTGGTGTTTGCATGCAAATCCCTAGTTTCGAAAGATGCGCGTGTTCGAATCACGCACCTCCTATTTTTTTTTTTTATTACTTTTTTTTTCCCCTTCCACTTCAACGCGGAGAACTAATTTTAACCAGTGCATTAATTACTTTTCTCATTATGATATAAGTTAAATACAGCAATACTTTTATATTTAAGAGGGATGGAGTGATATCGTCGTCTCGACCTGAATTTAAAACTTGGTATGTTCTCCAGATCAAAAAGACAACAACAACCAACACCCAATATTAATAATTACATCTGCATAGAAACATGTTGATGAGTGAGAGTTCTTGAAAACATTCAAACAAAGAAGAACGGGAACTATTATCACGGCACCTTTTCCATATGTTAACCGAAGCGAAACAAATTCATGGCTGGCATGAGAACAGCAATCCATCCGGTCAGTCCGTTAGACCATATTGTCTCCGCTGAACCTTGCCCTTAGAGCCTCCGGGAAGTTGTATCTATCCTTTGATGTGATACTGGTGTTTTCCTCCGGCCTCCACATCATCGAACCATCCTCCGTCGTGTTCATGGAAATCATCGTCAACGAAGTCGTTGTCAGGAATGTCATCGTCCGGGAAGTCGTCAGCCCGTCCCTCCCCAACTAACGCCGGTTCAGCCTGCGATGTTTCTCAGTCTATCCTTTCTAATTCTGACTCCGCGAGCGTCGATGCCTTTCTGAGAGGAGCCGCGCCGCCGAAATCCGGCAATTGTGGGTCTAGTGTTGTTTGGCTTGTGCTCTGTTGCTGCTGCAGTTGGCGCTGTACGCCTGCAGAGGTATGTGGCCGCCGTTTTTCACGTAGAACTAATGGACCCAGAGTTGGCAGGCATGCCGTGATGATACCCACGTATATTTCCAATGAGGCAAAGAGGCGCGCGTATACAACGCTAAATGTAAAGTCTTCTGCGTCTTCCGTGATGACAAGAATCACACGAGTCAGGTTCATTGCGCAGATGCTAGATGCGAATGTTAGTAAGTAGGCTTGCTAGCTATTTAAATGAAGGATATTAAATACCATAAACCAAGGCTCAGGACCCCGCTGAGCAAAATCTTCTTCTTGAGGCGCATCCTAAGGCTCCACGGCACTGGCATTGGGAGAACCACGATGAAAAGATCGAGTGCCAGGTTAACGGATGCAGACCCGATCTCTTGGGCGATTACATTCGCGCAATGGCCAGGTATTCGCCTATTCCAATGATAATTCAACGGTCGGCACACCACAAAGCCGGTAACAATGTACGAGATCCAGAAAAGGATGGTCAGCACAGCAATAATATATGCGGCCCATCGAAACGCAGGCTTTGGGAAAATCCCAATATAGAAATGAAGAATAGACAGCTTCACCAGTGATGTAGCGGTGATCCAAACAAACGCTGCGGCAAAGAACGTCTACTTGTTCAGTATGCCAAATCAACAACGAGATTAGTCCGGTTCTGCTATATTCAATATTCTCGTGGGCATTGGAAAACGTACCTTAAGGGTAACTACTAGGGATTCGGGTGGAAGGGCTAACACATCTTTTAGATGCATGCCAACCGACCCCGGGTGTACACCTATGACAAGTCCGGTTAGTTCTCCCAGAATGCTAAACACTTTTTTACAGATCAAAACTTACTAATAAGACTATTGACCGCGAAGCTGATGGCAAAGATCTAGACATGGCCTGCATGAGCTCTGATACTTAGAATACTCGGGGAAAACATAGAATTGCAACATACCAGAGCTCCAAACATTAAATAATCATGAAGCCTGAACGGACGTCTTCAGGGAAATTAAGCCACGATTCGCAAGGTAACAGCAACGATAGCAAGAAAAACGAAGACAATGGTAACGATATAATAGGCAAGTTCCCGATGACTGTCCAGCCCTGACGCCGGAGGGTTGTATCTTGGGCTCAGATTGCCCCTGGCTAGATGCATGTCTGAGAAATCGTGAAACGACATTGCTTCTAGTAGTGGATATCATAGGCCAAAAATAATCAATAGGGGCAGCTTGATGGTAGTCTGAGGACTTTTAAACGGACTTCTGTCTTTTTCCTGAAAAAATTGAAGAAGTGCTCCATCGAATCACTTCCGATACCCGTCAAGCTCCGCTGAATGAATAAACGATCCGGGCCCCCCTTTTGCGATGCCCCAGCGTCTATATAAGAGATGAATTGTCAACCTCTGGTGATATATCACGAGCCAGCTTCGATTGTTTCCCCGCTCTACAAGAAACTTGCGGTAATGAAGATCATCAGGACAAGCAGGATGAAGCGGCTTGAAGATAAAGAAAATGACGATTAGAGTTGAACTGGCTGCGTTCTTACTTTTTGGTCGTCATAGAGCGAGGAATCCGACGGTAAAGTAGAGTTAAGCCCAAGAACCCTAGAACCGACAGTACCAGACTCTGGATCACTCAACGGATGCTCTGACGCTCCTATGCTCCTACATCATAGATAGCTATTCTATTTGTCTGTTTCACTCAAAAGCATATTTTCCTTCCGTTCTTTGTCCCGGCTGGTTCCCGGAGCGGATTTGATGTAGAAACAACTTATTGATAATACTGTGAAGCCGTAAACTAGTTATAGTTATTATCTCTTTCTCCGTCGCAACTCCGTGAGTATTATTATTTATCCAACCAAGACCTGGTTTGCCGTTTGGCTACGCCCAAAGAAGCTCATTTAGAGTCATGTCAAGCTTTGGTCGAACTCAACAACAAAGAACGGTGATGAGAAGTTGCCGAATAAACTCAGCTTGAACCCACTGAGATCGACGGCCGAGCCCAATGTCCAGGCCATGAATAAAGCCCCTCGCTCGCGTCGAGAATGCTCAGTCGGGATAAGTCAACACTGGTAACCAATAACCTAATAATAGACCAGAAGTAAAAGGCTGATAGTCGGTACCAAATGCTTCATTCAAATGATCAACGCCGCTACCTAGTTAACCTAGTTGTGCTCTTGGTTCGATATCCCTCCTATCCAGCCGGTCAACCGGCGTTCCATATCATGGCTGCAAGAGGCAACTTGAGACGTTGAGATGTTCTATATATTCCGCACATTAGCACGACGAGGTTCTCTGCATTAGGAAGTTGGATTTATCTCCAATACAACGGTCTTTTCCTCTTCCTCTGGTCTCTCTAGATGTTGAAAGCCAACCCACTTCAATCAACTTCCAAGCTTGCGAACAATCCGCACTGGGACCATGGCCACCACGGCCTCAGGCATTATTTCGAGATCTCCACTCTTTGTTGCGATATTCATTCATTCATACAAGTTTTAGTAACTCCTAGTAAGAATATCTAACTATTCTCTGTGATAATACAATTTGATCCTCCTCTCGACTTCCTGTTACATACGAGGTTGCACCACTAGACTCTTCCACGCCACATGCGGCCTCGGAGATTATCCATATATACGTGGACGGAGTATAACTGCCTGCGGTGTAAACATATGCAAGCCATTCTTGCATATGCAGACATTCCTGTTATTCTGCTTAGAAAAAAAAAAGATCGTCGTCCTTGGCTTCGCTGGTCCTTGTAGTCAAGCGCCCACCAACGCATCCATCGTCCCAACGCGAAATTAGAATAATACTAATGATAAGGTTTTTTTCCCTTCACCTCTTTGCTACCGAAATCGAGATTAGTTGAAGTCTTATATTATAAGTGTGGGAGGGATAGAGCTTGTTCAGGTGAAGACGTTTAAGCGAACCAATAAAAGAAAAATCGCCAGCACCGAGTAAGTTAACTTAACTATCCTTCCCCTTCCCCAGGTCGGTCAGCATGCAACATCCGGGGTTGCAAATCATTTAAACCCTTCCTGGATATTCTTCAGATTACTCTCGAACGAATCTCGTAAAGTGTTCATTTGTTGACTGGGAGTTTTACCTGGTAATTAACCACACACCCGTCATTCGTTACCTGAATCAAAGCACTCCATAACTACTGGACTACCGGGAGTGTCTTGAATCCTACATGCAGGGTATCCCAAGGATAAAACTGAAATAATAAAATTGAAAAAGAGGAACGAAAAAAAGTTAAGTAACTAGCATTTATCCACTCCACCCTCTCTTGCTTCGAAAATCAGGTAGAGTTTGCCGGGATTCGCTGTGAACTGATCTTTAAGGTCCCTGCTGACTCTACGACCATCGTCTCCTTCTGGGAATCGAAGGTGATATTTGCGGACAAGTCTCGCCGTCACTAGCCTCATATCATCCGTCGCAAGAAACCGGCCGAGACAGCTATGGTGACCTGTTTTGTTGGCGCGACAGAAGCTAGTTAGAATCTCTTCTCTCCTGATCTGGTAATAGTAATAGCAAATTGAAGATTCATACCTGTCCCGAAAGGCGCATAAGCTGCCTTGTTCAGAATCAGCTCTGGCTTTTCGGACCATCTTTCGGGGATAAATTCGCGTCCTCTCTCAAAACAATCTTCCCCTGTTTAAAACGTTAGCGCATCAGTGATGTACTTAGAATAGAGATAGTTAGAAAACAACTTACGGCGCTGGATCGTAAACCTTGGTGCAACAATTGTAGTGAAAGGCGGGATGTATTTCCCGCCAATAGTTACTCCGTGCTCTAATGTTTTCCGATTGCCCCCTGTCGGCAAAGCCGGGTATAAACGTAGCCCCTCTGAGATGACGGCTTCTAAATGAGTTGATTTGGATAGAGAATGAGGATCTCGTAGATCGAGATCTTTTGTTTCGCGATATATCCTCTCTGCATGCTCGGGATTTCGAGCAAGCTCACAGAAGATGCCCACCAGCACAGCTACTGTCGGTTCACTGCCAGATTATCAGTCAAGCGTCCACAGTCTCGTCCTATCACAAATATTCTAGAGACTTGAACTAACCTCCCAGCAACAATGGCAAGCAAACTATCTCCATTTAGCATCCTCCAGCTTTCTCCTTGATAGTTGTTCTGCTTTGCATCTTCTATCAAGTAATGCGCAACATCCGGTTCGCGAAGCTTGTCTTCAGGAACCTTCACTCATTCATTATTAGGGGATTGTCGGCACAAGGAAGGGATAAAGATCAATCAACAGAACGTACT